AGCAGCAGATCTCGGTGACCTGCAGTGCGCGCCACCTGGGTGGTGCTCAGACCTTCCATGTTACTCTTTGTCCTTTTTGCTCATGTCTCCTCTTTGCTCTACCCTTAGCCATGACCTCAGACCCATTTCTAGGCAGAAGCCTAATTTAAGCCCCACTCTGCACCAAGCCCGTCCCCTTTGTCCTTCCAGCTCCATCCAGTCATCTTGCTTCCATGAGGGTAGGGGCAGGGGTGTGAAAACCCAGAACTGTGAAGGGAGCAACTGGCTGGTTCCAGGTCCCCCACCCCACTTGCTGTTTGTGCCCAGCCATCACCAGAAAACCTGGGACGTGGATAGAGAAGCCATGCATTGTCTTTTTATTACTTTAGCATCTTTCTCAGGAATCTTCAAAGACAGGATCAACATGGATAAGTTTAGATTAGTCCAATGAGCTGAGGTTAAGGTGCTCTTTCTCCCGAAATGCCTTAACTCTGGGATGGTTGAGGAACTTATAGGTTGCCATAGTTACTCATAAATTAGCACTTGGCGGATGTACGAGAATCTGTTTATCGCTGCATCTGAGCTGTGATTGTTTAAAAATTTTATTTTATTTTAAAATAACTACAGATTCACAGGAAGTTGCAAAAATAATACATAGAGGCCCCTTGCAGCCTTCACATCATTTCCCCCAATAGTTACGTCTTATGTAACTATAACAAAATTTTAAAACCAGGAAATTGACATTGGTACAATATGTGTGCATAGTTCTGTGTCATTTTATCATATGCGTAAATTTGTGTAACCATCACCACTATCAACATACACAATTATCTTTATCATCACGAAGATATCTCTTGTGCTACCACTTTATGGTCATGCCCACCCTCTACCACCCCTCATCAACCTTAAAACCTGGCAGCCACTTGATCTGTTTTTCATCTCTGTCATTTTGTCATTTAGAGAATGTTCTATAAATGGAATCAGAGAGTATGTGACCTTTGGAGATTAGCCTTTTTTACTCAGAATAATGCCATTTGGATCCATCCAAGTCGTTGGATGTATCAATGGTGTGTTCCTTTTTATTGCCGAGTAATGATCATGATATGAATATGCCAGAGTTTGCTTAACCATTTGCCTATTGAGGGAAATTTGGTTGTTTCTATTTTGGGGCTTTTACAAATAAAGAAGACTATTTACATTTAATGTAATCATTAAAATGTTAGGACATGAGTCTGCCATTTTATTTTTTTTTTACTACTTTTTTACCTGTTTTTCATTTCTTTGTTTTCTTTTTCCTGCCTACCTGGGCATTACTGAAAGATTTGTTAAAATTCCAGTTAGATTTATCTATAGTATTTTTGAGTATATTTCTTTATAAGAACTTTTTGCATAAATTTTAGTTGCTGGAGGTATTGCATCATATATAACTTATCACAGGCGACTGCTGTCGAGATTTTACCAGTTCCAGTGAAGTGTAGAAACCATAAGTCTTTTAAGTCTTAAAGTCTTCTTCTAAATCTTGATCTATAATTGATATCTATCATTTTCTTAAATATTTCCTCTCAATGCATTAAGGAAAACCACACCAAATATTTCCCAAAATCATTTTCACACACACATGGTCTAAAGCAAAGAGAGACAAAGTGAATTGAAGAAGCAAGTCAGTGACTTGGCCAGCACCAGAGAGCCTGGTTTCCAGAACGTTCCCCTTGCCACTCTATTTCTTCTCCTGAGGGATCTTCTTCTGCAGAGCTGTTTATTCTTGTTGGCTGATTAGTCTTCAAGTTTTTTCCATAAGCTGCTCTAGGGAGATGTTGAGCGTATCCTGGGGATGGAGACATAAGGAGCTGAGGCAATTACTCCAGGTCATGGGGGTAAAACATAGCAAGGGCAGAGGTCATACAGGGGTCACCTAGCTCATGCCCAGCTGTCAGAGAAGGTGGTGACTGAGTTGGTGTGAAGAGAGTTTTCATTCTGTTTGAGGAAAGAGAAAGCTCACGGTCTTCCTATCAAGTGTTTTTAGGCCTAATACAATTTCCAGGAAGTAAAGGTGACTGGTATTTTAGAGCATGAAGGAATGTCAACCTCAAACCTTTTTCTTGACAGAAAAGAATTAAAATGTAGAAGATGACTCCTAAGTGATCTCTATCTCCGGTCTTTGCTTCATCCTACTGCCAGGGTTTCCTGGCTAGCAAGGTGTCTAACGTAAATGTTTCCTGTGGCAAGTCAAAGCCCCCTGCCCATTTATTTCTCAATCCTGGCGAAGTTAAATGCACTTATAACCCCTTCCTAAGACATGGCCAGAAGAATGAAGGCATAGCAAAGCACCTAGATCGAGAATGGCACATAAATGTCGCATTACATGCCAACCACTCAGTTGGCAGTGAATCCAGAAGAGGTGGCTGGAGAAGGATTTTGAGGACCAAGTGCAGCGGGGGAAGTGGGCTGCAATAGAGCAGGAGAGGGAGTAGAGGGTCAGCCCCATGGCCCAGACCAAGGTCCTTCTGAGGGGCACAAGGAGATCTTTTTTCTTAACTCCTGTTCTTTGCTGATCCTTTTTTATGTCTAAGAAGGGAACACTAGTTCTAAAGAAAAAGTGTCTCAAGGGGAGGAATGGAAATGGGCAGTATCCAAAATAAGTAGCCACCCCTCGCAGCTGGGATCATGCATCCCTACATGGATTCTGTCCTTCTTGGGTCAGAGATGAAGTAGCTAAAATAGCAGGATGGCTGCCTCGGGGACATGTTCACCACCCAGCGCGCTAGCGGTGGCTCCTGAGCCTGAGGCACGGCATCTCATCATGCACTTCACATGCGTGATTCTTCTTCTGAAGGGCTTCTAAGAAGTCATTTCAGACGTTACATGAAGAGAAAAATGTAGAGGACAATACTCAGTGCTGGCAAGGATGCAGTGAAATGGCTTCTCTAATATATTATGGTAGGTATATAAATGTGTGTAAACTTTTTATAAGCTACTTGATAGCATATATCAAAAATTATTTTAAAACAACCACACCCTTTAACACAATATTTACAACGATGAAGCTATACCAAGGAAATATTGCAAAATATTTTTAAAATCTTAATCATACAGGCATTCATCACAAAACTATTGCTATTAGTGAAAAACTGGAAACAACTTAAATGCCCAACAGTAACTTATAGTCATGCGTACCCATCCTGCAGATGTTTTAAATTATGGCTGTTAAGAGCATGCAACAACATGGGTTTCAAAGCAGGATAAATATGACATGAATGCTGTAATTTTAACTACATACAAAAATATACACAGAAAACCAGTAAGGAAAGCTGTCAGTACTGTAGCTGGCTTACACTGTAGAATTGTGGCTACTTTAAGCTGCTATATTTATTTATTTATTTTTTATAATTTTATTTATTTTTTCCCCCAAAGCCCCAGTAGGTAGTTGTATGTCATAGCTGCACATCCTTCTAGTTGCTGTATGTGGGACGCGGCCTCAGCATGGCCGGAGAAGCGGTGCGTTGGTGCACGCCCGGGATCCGAACCCGGGCCGCCAACAGCGGAGCGCGCGCACTTAACTGCTAAGACATGGGGCCGGCCCTAAGCTGTTATATTTAAAACTATGTTGTGGTTTTATAATGGGAAAACGTTTAGTAAAGGGAAAAACTGAAAAGGGAATTTTGAATCTCTGTCTTCAGAGGTTTTAGTAATATGATGGAGTTGTCACAGCTAAGCATTGCAAAGGAAGATAAGCAGTGAGGAATGAAGTAACGAACTATGCTGTCTGCTATGGTTTATAATGTGAACAAGAAATAAGTTGGTCCCACTGAACTAATGACGTCTCTCAGTGCTTTCCATTGACCGCTGCAGAACTTGCCACCAACGTGGGCATGTCTTGATTTAAAAAAAAAACAGTTTCCTAATGATGTCTTCCTTTTCAGCCATTTGAAGGTGTGAGTGAGTGGTATAGAGAAGATTCTCAGCTACTGTGAGGATTGACCCTACCACTGTTATTTCTGCCAAAAGATCGAGTGTGAGCAGGGACACTGTCAGCTTTGAGATGCACCAAGCTCTGGTTCTTACAGAACTGACGTCTATGGAGTACGGACTCTGTGGGCCACCTGCTTTTGATGCACAACCACCCTCCATTATCATTCCCACTTTACAGATGAGGGAACCAAAGCTAAATAAGACGCCCAAGGAGATGGCAAGTAAGAAGCACAGCTGCCCTGGACCTATATCTGTCCAACTCCAGAATCTTTGGCTCTTCTCTATGCCAGGCCAGCCCTGCACACCGTGTGGCCATGATCTCCTAACTTCCTCAGACAATGCTGTTCTGCCCTGTCCTCTTTCAACTGGTCTTCCCCACAGGTTGCACAGGGCAAGCCAAGCTTTCCTCCACTGGCCACATTCCCTGCACCTAGCACAGTGCCTAGTAAGGTATTTATTTATTGACTGCACCAGCCCGTATCTGCACCCATTCTTCCCTCATTCCCACAAGGGTCTGGAAAAGCTTTGGACATAATAACATGGGAATGCAACCTGATTCATTTACAGCCACTCAGGGGCTCCAGGTTTAGTTTAGAAAACTTCTAGAGTAAATTATGCAAGTGCAGATAAGAAAAAGATAGTACTGCTTTGAGCCCAAGATGTTACCTGCTGATACTTAATGATAATATCTGCCCATCTCTGTGACCCAGTTTTGTCCCCTTCCCAAGACTAAATGTCCGTCTGCCCTCCTACAAACCCATGCTCTGCAATTCCTGACCTTTGAAGCCGTGACCCAAAGCATTCCCACAGAACAAACCCACATTTGAGAGCTGGCAGTTGGTCCTGAAATGTGTGCTCACGAGACCAGGAGTGTGCTGGCACTATTAGCTGCCCAGGCTGTAGGCAGGAGATGTCTGGGGCAGAAGTGAGATGGATGACCTTTTTCTGACTCATTGTGCCTGTATATGTGGGTGTGTGCACGCAGAGAAGAGAGAAACATGTGGAACGGCGAAGAACTAAAAGCCCTTCAGTCAACAAAATCACAAGCCAAGGAAGTAGGGAGAGGTATTTTATAGGCTTCGCTGGAGGAGCTATTGCAGTGATGAGGGAATCCCTCAGTTTCCTATGGATGCTGCCCACTGCCATCTTCCTTGCCTCCCTTTTCCCTTCCTGCCTCAGGGTCAGGGTCCCAGGTCACCTCCACTCATCCTGGGACTCCTTGGCCATGGAGTTGGGTGAGACCAAACTGGAAAAGATGGCCTTTCTTGGTGTCGTCGTGGCCATGTTCTTCATTCTGTTCAGCCTGTCCCGGGCCTGCTGGCATTTTCTCAGGCAAGGCCCACACAGATCCTTCTCCTCCACTAGATACAAGTTGTCCAGCCTTTTGATGGATTCTATGAACATATTCGACTCTTCCGCCTTGGGAAAGGGGTTTCGCTTTGTGTTCAGCTTTTTCAGCTTGGGGAGCTTGGAGATGCTACTGGGGATGCTGTTCAGCAGGTTGTCATGGAGCCCCACCTCATGGAGCTCCTTCAGAGCACCCAGCGTGGTGGGCACGCTGTCCAGGTGGTTCAAGCCTAAATTCACAGTGCGGATATTCTTGAGCTGATTGAGCTCCACAGGCAGTCCGTTGGTGGTCAGCCTGTTGTTGCTGACATTGAGGTAGAGCAGAGTAGTCATCTGGCCGATGGACTCGGGGAGCTTGTCGATGTAGTTGCTGTGCAGGTCCAGCCACCGTAGATTCTGGAACTTGGAGATTGAGTCAGGGATCTTCCTGATCATATTCCGGCTAAGATCGAGCTCATCTATATCATTCAGTCGCAGAATACACTTGGGAAAGTTGGTAATTCCCATCTTGCTCAAGTCAAGGCGTTTTCTCCCATCAAATGTGATTTTGATACAATTCTTGGCCACATTGAGGGTGATCTTCTTGCCCTTGGGGCCTTTCCCACCCTTGGCCATGTTCTCTTTTAGTGAGGGAGAATGTTTGAAGTATGTTGTCTGATTGGTAGGTGATCAGTTTGAGGAGTAAGTCGCATGAAACAGCTAGAAGATATACTCTGATAGGAAGAAAAAAATATCTAGTTAGGAGATGCCGTGAGGGTGCTGGACTCCCCCCAAATTGTAATGCTTTGCTCTCTATTGGTTTAAAAGGAGTGAAAGAGGAGAGAAATTAGGGCATGAACAGAAGTAACCTAGCCAAAGACCTTCAGCAAATTGAACGCCCTCTTCAGACCTCAGTGTTCCCAGATGTAAGATGGAAGGTGCAGGGGTGGCCTGAAGGATGCTCGATGCCCCTCTGGCTATGCCATTCCCTAACTTATGAATCTCACCATTGTCCTGGACATTCACATACTCCCCTCCTCCCCATGTCCAGGGCTAGGTGTATGTGTGTGTTCTTGGATATTGCCACTTCCCAGACCCTCACATAAATCGAGGGTTTACTTCGAGTTATCCCACGATTTCCTCAGGGTAGGCCTGCTGAGTTCTCAGAAGCAACATAGCCTGGATATGAGGGAATAAGGTGGGAGTTAAGAATGACTTATGTATTACATGTCTCTTCACCTTCTGAGTCCAGAGGAACTAGTTAGGCCTTGCTGCTATGCCTGCATGGCAATAGGAACGGCACAGAAAAGTCTGTCTCTCAGCCCACAAGTAAGAGGATGGGCCTACACCCTGCCCATGAGCATGGAGCAGGCCGGGGTTGAGCCTGGCAAAACATAAAAGGGACTGCTGCCTTTTTCCACCTCCTACCCCTTGACTTCCTCCCCTCACATCCTTCACACTGAAATTCACCTGTACACACCTCCGCACGGATGGGTGTGGTGATAGTCATGACTGCCACTATACAGAGAAGCAGATGTACAGAGTGATGGGAGATTCTGGCCTCAGGATGCTTGGCTTAGAAGTCCAGCTCTGCCATGAATGAGTCTCTTAAATTTTAGTGCCTCAGTTTCCTCATTTTTCAAAATAGTCCCCCTATAGGGCTCTTAGGGAGTGTGAATTATCTAAACTATACAGTGCTAACGATAGCGCCTAGCACATAGTGACAGCTTGATTAATGTTAACTATTAAGTATTATTATCAGGAACTTTGGATATATTGATTTTAGTCCTCACAATCTGGCAAGATCCATAGGATTATCCCCGTTGTAAAGGGAGGAAGACTGAGGCTCAGGAGTGAGGAAGGTCTACAGCTAGGAAGAGGAACTTCCTGTCCTAGGAATTGTCCTGTCCTGTTCTGGAGGCTCTTTTCTTTTCTAAAACTTGCTGTCTCTTGCTTGCTGATTTTCTATTTTAGACCAAACTCCTATAGCAAACAGAAGCATGCTGTCAGGAGACAAATGCTTACATTGCTTCCATTTCCCCAGGATGGGCAGGAGGGGTGCCAGATAGTTTCTGTGCTTCATCATACAGGCCCTTTATCAGGAACCAAGTTTATATAACACATGAAGCGCCAGCAATCAGCTGTGTGAGCTTATCATCGCATTTTCCTCATATAGTAATCCTCAGTGTCAAAGGGAAGTGGGTAAAAATTGCCTTCCACATTCGTACTATCAATCCCACTACAGTCATGTGCTCTATAATGACATTTCGGTCAATGATGGACCACATGTACAACGGTGGTCCCGTAAGATTAGTGCCATACAGCCTAGGTGTGCAGTAGGCTATACCCTAGGTTTGTATAAGTACACTCTAGGATGGTCACACCACGACAAAATCTCCTAACAATGCATTTCTCAGAATGTGTCCCCATCCTTAAGCGATGCATGACTGTATTGCCACTCCTAGCTGAAGGGCAGAGGGTCCCACTCTGTGCAAGTCCTATTGGATCAGAGCCTCCTAGAATGGATGGAGGTCCCTATAGTAAACCATTGAGAGTATTCTCAGCTCACAGCAGCATTGAGGTTCCTTTCAGCAGGCCTTGTAAGCTAAACCTATTCTTTAAAAACAATGGACCAACCACATTCATGCATAATTAATTGGCTGGTTACCAAAGACAGTAGTGTGTTCACCAGTGTTGAGGTTTCTATGTCATGCAGCTCTGAGAAACCAGATGGGATAAAGCAGCTTAAAAATGACAGCTGGGCTCTCACTCAGTTAAGAGGAAGGAAGTGCGCTCTGCCCCATCTCACTCAATGAGGGCAGCTCCAGGCTCTAGAGAGATTGCGCAGAGCAGCTCTCTGAGGTCTCTGGAGAGAAATAGTATCAGACAGATTGGAGAAGGAGCTGAAACGTAAGACCGACTTTGCACTGGTGATGACAGAAGGATTTCCAAAAAAGGCTTTTCTCTCCAGCCAAGGAACAGGAAAGAGGGCCTTTTAGGGTCAGAGAGAGTAAGGGAGATCTCCTGTTTTTCCCTTTGTTTTCTCCATTCTTTCCTGCCCCAGGCAATCCTGTATCACTGGAGTCAGCCAGGGAGGCACCAAAAACTCTGAGGAAGGAAAACCGTTGTCACTGACCAAACTGTGGTAGCAAGAGCATGGAGGTTGCTTTTTTCTCTAGTGCTAGCTTTCTCCAGCTTTATCCTAGTGCTACTTGGCCCTAAAGGCAGAAACAGTGGCAGAAAGTATACAGCAGATTTAGAAAACAAAATCCTGGATTTCTAGGCAGAAGAACAAGGTGGGGGGAGGGTGGGGGCAGCTCCTGGGGAGCCACAAATTACTGGGGAGATTGCAAAGAGGTAGGAGTTTAATAAAGTTGCATAGGAGCTCCCGGATGCACCTGAGCTGCCTATACGTGGATGAAACCCTGAACAGGGTCTTCAGTGCCTAATCCTAATCCCTGAACCCAGGCTTTGAGAATGGAGCCAGGAGATAGACCTCTGTGCAGGTTCCAGGCTGGTGCCTGAGTGGTAACGTGAGGGACTGATTCAGACAGCACTGTCAATTCTGTGAAAACTGAAAGGACATTATAACAATAGGCTATAGAATCTACAGAGGGTTTGCTAGAACTTGTAGCCCGTGATTGCCTGCTAAAAAATATATAGGTAGATATTGATATCGATATGTGGATGTATCCTAGAAGAAGGAGAGGAAATAGAATTGTGGTGCAGAAAATTTGAAGGAAAAATGGATAAAAAGTTCCAAAAGTTGGTTAAAGACATAAAAATTACAGATGCAAGAAGCTCAGTGAACTCCAAACAGGATAAATAAACTGAAAGAAATCCACACTCAGACACGTAATCAAACTGCTCAAAATTAAAGAAAAAACTTAAGACCTGCAGAGAAAAACAACACGTTACCTACAGGGGAACAGCAATACGAATGACTACTTGTTTCTCATTAGAAACCATGGAGGCCAGAGGTACTGAAAAAATGTTTTTTAAAGTGCTGAAACAAAAGAATTGTCAACCAAACAGAGAATAAAGGCAAAATAAAGATATTCTCAGATGAATGAAAAATGAAGGGATTTGCCACTAGTTGAGCTGCTGAAAAGAAACGCTAAAGGAAGTTCTTCAGATGAAAGGGAAACAATACAGTAGTCTTGTTCACAGGGGAGATGTTCTAAGATCCCCAGTGGATGCCTGGAACGATGGGTAGTAGCGAATCCTATATATACTATGTTTTTTCCTATACATACATACCTATGATAAAGTTTAATTAATAAATTAGGCACAGTAAGAGATTAACAACAATAACTAATAATAAAATACAACAATTATAGCAATATACTGTAGTAAAAGTTGCCATAGATCTTAGCAATCTCAGCATATGATTTTTTTCTTCCCTTGCCAAGAACTTTCACATTTTCACTTAAAGGAAGCATTTTCTAGATTCTCTTTGGCATATCTGAATTGCCAGTATTGTTACTCTCGCACTTTGGGGCCACTGTTAAGTAAAATAAGGGTGACTTAAACACAAGCACCGTGCTACCACGACAGTTGATTTGATAACCGAGACGGCTACAAAGTGACTCTGGGCAGGTAGCGTATACAATGCAGATACTCTGGACAAAGGGAAGATTCATGTCCCAGGCAGGACCGAGCAGGACAGTGTGAGATTTCATCATGGTACCCAGAATGGCGTGCAATTTAAAACTTATGAATTGTTTATTTCTGGAATTATCCTTTTAATATTTTTGGACCACAGTTGACCATGGATAACTGAAACCTCAGAAAGGGGGGACTGCTGTACTAGAGAGAAACTTGGACTTTGAGAATAAAGAGAGAGCAGTGAAAATGGTAAATATGTGGTAAATATAATAGTTTTCTCCTTTTAAGATCTTTAAAATATGTGTGGTGGTTGAAAGCAAAAATTATAACACTGTCTGATGGGGTTTTCAGTGTACGTAGATGGAATACATAGGACCACTACAACATAATGGGGGAAGTTAACGGGACCTATATGGTAGGTAAGGTTTTGCATTGCTTTTGAAGTGGTAAAATATTAGTTTTAAGTGGTTGTAGAAAGTTAAGTATGTATATTTTAATCTCCAGTGCAATCACTAAAATAATATACAGAAAGACACAGTAAAAAACTAAATATATAAATTAAAATGAAGCAGTAAAAAAATTCAAATGATCTAAAAGAAAGCAAGAAAAGAGAAATGAGAAATGGAATAAAAACAAGTAATAAAAGTAGTAAATCCAATCATATCAATACTCACATTAAATGAAAATGACCTAAATACACCAATTAAAAGCATAATTATCAGAATAGTTAATAAAAGAAAAAGACCCAATTATATGGTATCTATAAGAAATCTGCTTTAAATTAACAAATGTAAGTTAGACTAAAAGAATGGAAAAAGACATACTATGCAAACACTGAAGGGAAACAGGAGTGACTTTATTAATATCAAAGTATATTTCAATAAAAATTTACCTGAGATTAAAAAGAATACTACATAATGATAAAAGGGACACTTTACCAAGAAGATACAAAAATCCTAAATGGGTATGTACTTAACAACAGAGCTTTGATATAAATGAAGCAAAAACTGTTAAAATTGAAAAGTGAAATTGACAAATCTATCATTAGAGTTGGAGACGTCAATACTCATCTCTCAATAATCAATAGAACAACTAGAGAGAAAATCAACAAGGAACAGGGTTTCTC